GGCAGAGGACCGATTGTCTGTACCTTCAAAGGTTATTCGTGCGGCGCCTGAAACAATGGTTCGACAAAGTTCAACAATAGCGTCACAGGAGTACGAACGCAGGAGTGACCTTCAGCTGATCAGTCACAAAAATGATGAATGTTTGCTCAGAAAATGATGTATATAGACAAGAAAACGCTTGAAAACGCATTAAACATGTTATCTTTCCCTGAAATGGCTTAAAAATACGTCATATTTTTAACGAGGTGTATCAGCTGCTAAGTTAGACTAGTTTCTGTACATGTACTCACCGAGATGACTACAAATAAACTGTTTTTGTGAATCGATTATCTCTCCCATCCTGCTTTCAGTCTTCCAAAGAAGCCCCTGGTTAAACTATTATGGTTTCCAGCAAGAGGATAGATGACTACTTACCAGGAAAACGTGGATAATAAAACAAATTACAATCAATGACATCAACTATGAATCTATCCCTAATCGTAGCCATAAGTTTAACCGTGACCCTAACTTTTACTCTAACCTTAATCCTAACCCTAATCATAACCCTTATTCAAACCATAATTCTAACCCCAATACCTACCTTAGCCCTAATCCTAACCCTAACGAGGTGTTAACATATTTTCCAAACAGTACTTAAAGACTTGATCTGGGTGAAATTTGCTCTTAAGTTGGTGAATAGCGTTGATATTTCAGCTATGATCATGACAGATGCCGTTAGCCAACGACTAGCATGCATTCAAGGTCATTGCAGCGTTCACACTCCTAGGACGCTATTGTTGAACTTCGCCGCATATACTACTGAGTAGGTTTTCAAACCAGTCCAAACACAATAACTCCAGATTTACATTATGTACTCTACTTGTGGGCACATTTGTGAAGTACTGACAGCCGGTGTTTGGCTGCTGCAAGGTGGCGATGGCACTACCTTGGTTTCAACGGTCAGGGTAACAGTGTTCACTGAAGACGGCTCGACGTCCACAGGAAGGACAGCAGGTATGACAGGCTCCGTTGATATCGGCGTAACCGAGATCTTAGCCAGTACCTGCTCATAGATAAGTTTATACCTTCTGTAAAATGTAGTGTTATGGTAGTTCGAACATAGGTTACACTGACGTAATCTTTTCTAGCTTAATAAAGGGTGTCTATCGCTAGACTAGGAAAAAATTAGAAATGAACCACAGCTGCCACTTACCTGCATCGTGCATTGTTTAAAATTGCACCCACAATGTGTGACTGTAATCCAACTAAACAAAAGAATGTGTTGCACTGCAATTAACATTGACCACTACTATCTGATTCCGTTACTTTCCTCTGTGTGCACGTGTGTGTGTGTGTGTGTTAGTTACTGCGTGGCATTTAAGACTTCTGGCTTTGGTGGAGATTCGGTGTTCACTGGTAGTTCTGTGTCTTCTGTTGGTTCTTCTGTACGAGTTGTAGGTGGGGGTTAATTCGAGAGTTCTTTCAAGTGATCAGCTCAAACTTTCCTCTGTTCGAACTCCTCGATAATTGGCCTTCCTTCACTTTATTTCAATGACTTCATCTGAGTTGATCCCATCCTGGATAGCCATTTGATCATATGACACAGCGAAACTCACAAATTCTACACCAACGCTTTTTTCTATAGTGAGAAAACTCCACTGATTGGTCAGTAAGCATGAACCCACATATACACTTTCTTTGGTAAACGATGAGTCACATGACTGACATTATTGGTGAGTACATTGGCCCCTTATATTATCACAGTCAAAGTGACAATAACAAGTCAAAAGTTGATTCCTCAGTTTGACTGCAATGTAATGCTATTGGCCACTATTCTTAATGTATATCCATTTACATACATGCATTCGTACATCCACATATGTGTATGCGTGCGAGCCTTTCTTGATAAATGTATGACGGAAAACACTTCAGTTGTCAGGCAACAACTACTACTCCTTTTAGGTGTTACCATTTCCTTCTGTGTTCTGCTTGTAAGATATTGTGAAAATATTCAACAGGAAACTACTGATGTAATTACATTAAGAAAAACGCATCAACTGAAGTAACGGTAACATAATTTGAACTACTTACAATTTAACAGTAACCTCTCGTGTACAGTAAAATTTTCCACGGTTCTCCCTCAATGCCCCTTTTATTCGGATTCTTTAACCCCTCTCACACATTTCCCCTTCATTGTCCCATTTAATCGGTTTTTCCCCCTTTGAAAGAAAAAGCCCCTTTTCTTCCCCGTTTTCCCGAATATGCCCTTTTTTGTCCACACATTTGTCCAACAGGGTAACTGCCCGGTCAGAGGGAGTTTTTCACCACATGCACTGACTGCGGTTTGGTCTGTCTACTCCAAACCGGGGTAACCCAACTTTTGCCATAACCACTTCGATATCGTCTTTATATCATATTCCGTGTCTGCTTGCGGACTTGCGGGCTGTGAGTTGATTTACACCTCGGCGAATTTACGTGGAGTATGTGTGTTGATGAAGTGGGCAGTTGTGATGCTGATCGCTTTCGGCAACAAACGTTGACGCGATCGGTTTCTGGACTTTATTCGGCGAACTTGCTTACAATATCCATCTTTGTGACCAATCATGTGGCATCGTCGGCATTTACTGTGCTTGTAGGGGCATGTACTTGGTTCCAGGGCTCACAATTTCAGCATGTTGAAGACGGAGTCTGAAGTTGACGATGTGGTGATCTTCACTTCGTTGCTACTGGATGCACCGCACTTACTTCGGTTACATTGTGGAGGCCAAACTGGATCAAGGCGGTATCTTTTCAAAGGTTGGTAAGTCGCCGGTATTCTTCACCGACGTCTTTCAGTATCATTTGCGGGTCTTGTTCAAGTCTGTTCATCAGTCGTCTCCTTATGTTGACAAACTTGGATGACTGTAGACCACAAACGAAGATAAGAACATTGAGTTGGTCTTCTGTCAGCGACTATGACTTGAATCTCTGGTTTACAGCACCAAGCTAAGTATGAATGTCGTCCTTTTCGTCCAGTTTCATGCAGTGGTAACAAACGCTGAACAACGATCTGTGGTAATCAGACTGCTGACGGAGTGCTTGGACATTTTCATCAAACGTTCTGTCGCTTGGCTTCAAGGGGAAAATCAGGTTGCAGTATTTATCCAACTCATTTGCATGTAACTTCCGCAGTAAGAGTTTCACTTCTCATGCCTACAATGTTCATTCTAAATAGGCCTTCATATCTGTGGAACAAAGTATGGAATGTTTAAATCTGGTTCATACAAAAATTCAGAAATGCTGCTACCGATACTGACTTTAGCTGAAGATGAAGCATCAAGGGATGATATCCATAGACTAGCAATAACTCCATTGTTTTTAGCTGCTGCTCCCTCAGTTTCTCCAAGGGTGAAAATTTCCATTTCTGCTTTTTACCCGCTACCAATTTTGACATGACCGTTAATACACTAGCAGTTGCGTTAAGGAATTTATTAACTAGTCGATTCGCGAGTCTATTGTTCTAACTACTATTGGCAATAATCACGAAAACAGCAGGTATAGGGAGCTCAGTTGCACAAACATATCCCAGAGACATATTCGAGTTATTCTTTCCACCATTTTCACTGTTCGCCCTATCAGTTATCACAACAATTCTTCGTCAAGGTCTTATTCATCCAGTACAAACCGTACCTTGTCTGGCAGCTATGCAAACCGATGTTGATCCGAATATTCGTATTAAAGCTGATGCTCACCTTCAAGAAACTGACACGAAATTTCCGGGTTTCTTGACGGTAAGTATCCTTTTTAAATTACTTTTAGTATCTTGTTTTGCGTTTGCATATTTAGCATCTCTACATTTTTTCATCTCTTACAGATGAGAGCTGCACAGGGTGTCAATTTACCGTATCGTCTCCAAATTGTTTTGTATAATGAGCTGCGCGAAAAACAGAAAGTAAATCCTGGTGTTTGCTCACAAAAAATTGGCTCACCTGAATTAGCAAACGTTCATAAATTCCCAACACTATTTCTGTCTGTCAAAGTAGTCGCAATAAAGTTGAGACTGATGGCTTAGGTTCTGATGATAACTCCAGATTAATATATGTGTAAAACTTGGTCACTGTGGTAGTAAGTAATTCCATATTAGTCATTCAGTAAATAATACTGTTTCACTGTGTGATACATCTAATAAACAAACTAATATGGGTTAAATCCCGATGTACATAGCCTACGAATGTTCCTGATCATCGTTCTCCTTTCAATGTTCCGGAAGACCCTTTTCGTGCTATCCGTGTGACCAGAGATCCCTTCAGTGAAGTCCCTACTGCTCTCAACTCAAATTTGTATTCTATGCGCAGAAATAATAAAAGTCGTTCTCTGCTAAATGGCCTCATATCACTATTTGATGACTTGCAGGTTCGTGTGTGTTAATATATATATTTCTAATGCCTGCACATAATGGTTTTTTCCCAATCATTTCGTCTCATTGAAACATGTGTTACAGCTATTTGTAGGGTGTATGTTTGTTTTTTGGTTTGTTAACAAGCATTGTCAAGTTAAATAAAAGAGTTTTGCATCATATACAGTCCTATTCAATAGGCTATCTGTTGACCGCATCTCTCGTGTGAGAACCGGTAATCGTACTGAACTGCTGAAATATCAGTAAGCGGAACAAAATTATAGTGTCTAACAATACATTGGTTGCAATTTCAGTGTGTGAGCTATTGAACAGCAATGCATATAGTAGTAACTTTCAAACTACATATTTTTTCACTTATTCATATTGTAATTAGTCATTTCCTTTTTTTTCAGAGGATTTCTCTTAGTCAGTTAGTTTATGTTGCTGATAATTTGGCACACTTTTCCTATCAATCGTAAGAAGAACCATTGTTTGTTGTCCATCACATAGATTTAATGGTTAGTATGGCAGGTTCGGGAGTTCTGAATAATGTTCGTGAGGCATTTTCCCAGAATTAAAAGCAGCTCTTGAGGCTGTCGTCGCTGCTCAGCTTGAAGCTGATGCGAAGAACCGAGTGCAGATGGAAATGCAGTTACGTGCCGAACTTCAGGCACAGCACGCTGCTTCAACTGAAGCTCTCAGAAGAGGTGATCATGCTACAGCTGGTTTATTCAACGATCAAATTCAGCATACTATCCAACGAATAAACAGTCTGAATTCGTCTAACCTCCCAGTAATAGGAAGCAGCTCATCCACGACTGAGCTGTCTTCAAATATCCTTTCCGGACGCGAAAGTAAGTTCACGCCCTATTTGTATGCATCAGTAGTAGCTAGTTAAATGCTGTTAGGGAAATAATTTTGTTATTTTTATTGGTTGGTATTTCTTTTTTGTTATTTCGCTAATTATATGCTTTTATTTTAGGTTTTTCCAGGGTTGATTTGGGTCCTTTTGAAATAGAGGAAGAGGAAGATCCAGTTGCACTCTTCGACAGGTTATCTAAATCACGTCAGAAAACTCTACCTATGATGCAAGATGCTATTCGTATAAGTCGTGCATGTGTTGTATTATCGACGCTTAAACAATTTCTAAAGGAATCATACTGTATCACTGATGGGTAAGTGTGCAGTGTCTCACTGTCTACCTTACTACGTTTTAACATAAATTCCCCAAGATTTCTTTTATAATTACTAATTATTAGTGGAATGCAAACACATATATTTACCTCATACTCAGCTACAAATCATCATGTATTCATGTATGATTGCTACAACTTTTCGTGTTTATTAGATTTTGAGCCATGATAGTCGAATTTTTCACTGTTATCGTTTTAGTCTATACAGTGAAACTGTTCCTATTCATTTACAAAGTGTACTGATACTACGGATATATATATATATCACTTTATTTTGGTTAAAATGTCAAACAGGAATCAGTTAGATCAATTGGGGACAATGAATTGCATAAGTCTTAACTTCGTTCATCTCACCAGATTAAGATTGTTCTATCAAATTGAAATAGTTTCAAACAGTCTTAACCGGATAGATTTTATCAAAGATTAACAACAATTAGAAAACTGATAGATGCTCAACATTTAACGATTGTTTCACTGCCTTTTTTCGTTAATTGTCAAGTACACATAATCCAACTTCCACGGTGTGAGCAGTTAGGATGCAGTAAATACCCCCTCAATTCCACTTCCACACAAAACTTCGTCATCATCATTTACAATCATGTTCATCACCTTCATCCTCTCTGAACAGTGAGGTGATTAATAGTAACCAGAGTAGCTGCTGCTAAAAACAAAACGCTAATATGGCCATTTTATGAGTATGCACGCCTACGTCTGAACAGATATAGAAAACAAGCATCTATGAAACCGATACGCCCCAGCTTCTCGATGAGAACATGAAGTCTCTATTTAGGGAAGAAATAGTAAAGTGTGTATCTGAGACTGTTGGGAGGACCCAGCTTGAAGGAAACCTGCCATTTTATCTAGTCAGATGTAGAAACAGTGGTGATTACTTTTGAATAGCTTGATATTGAAGGTTAGTAAGTGCTAGTCGATTTCTGCTGTTTCAAGCGAACTGTTGATTACCTGGAATATATTCTTAGTAACATTCCAGATATATTTTCCAACTCCATACACTATTTATTGGAAGTGTTTATTTGTTTTGTTTCGACAGGTATTTCGAAATGCATGAAATTTAAAACTTATTCTTCATGATCCCTCTGTGATATCTACGAACACTTTATGGATTTTTCTGTTATTTGAACACTTACTTCTAGTAGATGAGTCGACATCAGATGAATGGTTGACCTCCAACTGAATTACCATTGTCGTCTTTTGTGTATTTTAGAAAGATTCAGCGTTACTCGCCTTCAGATTCAGCTAAGTTGTGGGAGAAGCCGTTGACTCGGCGCGTTGGTATTCATTTTCATCCCTTACCATGCTTGAAAGCTGCTGGGATGGAACTTCACAAATCGGAGCTTGTTTCTCATTCACAGCCGTCTGTTAAAAGTGACCTTAATACGGAGGAAAACTTATCAGCTGAAGATGTTGCCGAAAAAGACGAGGATATTGAATGTACGAGTGAAATGCAGTCCCTCGTACAAGATAATCTCGATTTCCGCAAGCTGATACTTACTATTGATCCTCCTGGCGAAGAAGAATTAGGAGCAGAAGACTGGAACAGTCGCTGACGATCCTTGCAATACAGCTTCAGGAAATTCAACTAGAAATAGCTCCTATTTGTTGGTATTTTTGGGGAATTTACTAAAACGTTTATTCTGATACATCGTGTATGAAAGTGTTCCTAAAACTACTACTTTTATGTTAATTTCCCCACAGACTGTGCTCAGTCGAATAAAGGTCGGTCTTTAAGAACAGTAATACCTCACTTACACAATAAATCTTCAGAAGAAAATGATTCTGATGACTCAAATGTAAGTATTATTTCTCGTGTAAGTAAGTTTATTTCACATTCCCAATAATGATAATCTAAATGTGTTGTGTATTACGATGTTCGTTAACGTCAAACTTCTTTGTTGTCATGCGCGCATTTAGGTGTTTAGTAACAAAAACTTGCCTTATTGACTGTAGGTATTTCACCCTATGTGGGACTTAAATTTTAGATTATCTCAGTTGAGTCTGTGTGTTAAACCATGGGATTGATGGATGAAAACTTAGCTAGGTTTCCTAACCGGTTCTAAGTATCGAAAAAGAGTGAAGATTGGCTGCGGGACCAAAGATCTTGCCAGGAGAATCAGTCAGGTCACTGCCGAAACTGTTGTGAGGTGGCTCATTGGCGTAATCACTCCAACTCTTAGCGGGTATCTCCCAGGTCGTAATTTCATCTCATTTCGTGTCAGTCCGTAGGTAACTGGTTAGTGTCCTCAACTTTAACTAACCTACTAATCTTCTAGCCCGTCTTAAGCGAGAAGAAGAGAGGATGTTAGGCCTTGGACAAGTTATCATACTCTTAAAATCAGTCCAATCATAACAGAAGCTTCAAAATATGGAGAACCAGGTAGATTTTAGACCAGGAAGAGTGTCTATTGATCATATCTTCACCCTTCGACAGATTGTGGAACATAGACGTGCTTACCGGAGTCCAGCAATCGTTATATTTCTTAACCTAAAGACGGCATTCGATTCTGTTGACCATGGGGGTACTATGGTGATGCTTTGCTGTAAAGGGAATGCCGAGAAAATACATTGCACTGATCAAGGCACCCAATCTCCTAGAACTCATGTAGCCAGCTGAGGGCTTACGACGAGTTGTCATCTGAAGTCGTGACAACTAGTGGTGTCCGCCAGGGAAGCCCACTATCCCCGTTTCTCTTCAATTTCATCATAGATGTACTAATGGACTTAAACCTGAGTGACTTCAGCGACTCAGGAATTGAATTGTTACCTTTCAGGGAATAGTCTCGTTGACTTAGAATATGCAGTTGACATAGTCCTTGCAGGTGAAGACACTGACAAAATGCAGAGTCTTCTGAACACCTTGAGCTGCAATCTCCGAATGTTTGGCATGCGATTAGCTCGTGCTGTCAAGTGTAAGATGATGCTACATGACTGGACTGGACTGGACTACATCGACTCCTAGCTTAAAAATAGGGAGTGAATTGGTGGCTGAGCGTGTTGACCACTTAACTTATTTGCGAGGTTGCATTAGTCTGAATGGGTTGATCGCTGACGAAATTTCAGCACGGATACAGAAGGCTCATTTCGCATATGCCAGTTTACGCTGTCTCTGGTGTAGGCGTGATATCCGGCTGGCTATCGACCAAAGGGAGGGTGTACCGCTCAGCAGTCCGCCCCGCCCTCCTTTATGGCTGTGATACCTGGCCATTGAGAGTGGAACACATGAAAGTTTGGCTAGTTGTGTTCGATCACAAGTGCCTGCATTCTATCTCCCGCGTGAAGCGACATTATAGGATGAGCAATATTGAGGTTAGGCATTGGTCGAGTGCTAGGTAGGGCGGGGAAATCAATAGACGAGACTGTGAAATTACATCGGCTGAGATGGTTAGGACATGTGTTATGTATGCCTAGTCGTCGGCCTCCTCGACAGTGGGCAATGTTAGCTGATATAGGGTCAGGTTGGAAAGGAGCTAGCGGTGGTCAAACCAAAACATAGTACCAGTCAATGAAATCCACAACAGTTACTTTAAGCCAGCCACTTAGAAAGGTGTAGACTCCCTGGTTGGAGTCCTCGACACGGTAAAAACCAATGGCTGGAAACAATCAATGATATGACTCAAAATCGTTCTCGAGGGCGCAGATGCATCCACTCCTTGTGACTTATAATTTCCAATGAAACTATATTATTCTTGGTTAATACTATTCCTTTTGTCCCATATCCCCGTCTACTCTCTCAATTATGCATTTCCTCTACTTTCTTTTCTTGCTTTGTTTGCTGCATGGAGTGTGGCGACTTGAACTGCCGCACATATGTGCAAAGTTCTATGTCGAAAACAGACAGACAGACAGAGACATTCTTCACTAGAACCAGAGAGACCAAACGACACCGGCTGGCAAAAGCGTTAGCAAAGTCGGTCAACCGATACGCCTTCTTTCGATGAAAGCAAATATAAACATGGTGACATGGAATTTCCGCATAACGTTCGAAGCTGGTAAAGCTGCTGAGATTGAAGGCGAAATGAGAAGATATGGTTTAGAAGTGCTATGAATCAGTGAATGCAGATGGAATGAAAGAGAACTCTTGGAAGTAATACCTGGATAATTAAGAACCTACATCCAGACGACAACCACGAACACATTGAGAGAGTGGTTATTACGATTATAACCATTAGCGTGGAGGGCTGTAATACAGTAGGAAGCTATCTCCAACAGGATAATGCCAGTGAGATTACACTCAGTAGGTAAGATAGATACAATTACCGAATGCTACGTCCATGCAATCAATAACTAACGGAGAAGCTAAGGTCAATCTGCAGTGCAATGGACAAGGTAATGAAGAGAAGTTCTAGGAAAGACAGAATATGGCTTTACGTTTCACTGGAAATTGGAGCACAACAGATTACAGGTACCAAGCAGCCCACAGCACTGTGTCAGATATTAGATAAGCTTGTTTTAAATGCCACAGTGCCACAGCATTAATAACTGGATGGCGTTTGAAGCACAATTTATCGCTCTTAATCATATTAATTCAATCGCACGGTTCCGCAATATAAACTTATATAATATGGAATTACATTCTACTACAATATCCAAGTTATACACTTACATTGATCTGTCAGATAATCAAATGGCTATCCAGGATGGGATCAACTCAGATGAAGTCAGTGAAATAAAGTGAAGGAAGGCCAATTATCGAGGAGTTCGAACAGAGGAAAGTTTGAGCTGATCACTTGAAAGAACTCTCGAATTAACCCCCACCTACAACTCGTACAGAAGAACCAACAGAAGACACAGAACTACCAGTGAACACCGAATCTCCACCAAAGCCAGAAGTCTTAAATGCCACGCAGTAACTAACACACACACACACACGTGCACACAGAGGAAAGTAACGGAATCAGATAGAACGCCGCCAGAAGCAAGGAATACGGGTAAAGTAGCTCATCTCAGTGGACATATTCACGCCATGAGCTGCGCATGAGCTGTGGGAGCAAGGGGAGGTAGGCGCCTGGCTATTGGGAGAAAGACTACGTTGTGAAACTGTCAAAGAACGGTGACTTCAGTCCATAGAAGAACTCGCATGATATCATGCTCCTATCTCCTTCAAGCAAAATCTTAAGCGATATCATCATTCTATAGAGATTAGAAGATGCCTTTGATGGAAGACTTCGCCGACGACAGGCTGAATTCAGTAAAGGTAAGTCATGAGCGAAAGAAATTGTAAAAATATGTTACATTATCAGACACAGAACAGAATGTCAGTCAAATATTTTCTGCTATAATTCTATAGTATATCCACCGAACTGGATGAAATTGAATATATTCTCAGATATATCCACAACATTCAATTAATATTCCGTCGTTGGACTTCAGTTGCCCTGGTAACTGACGTCTTAGTAACTCTTTATTTTCTAATTTTGTTAACTTATCTTTTCACTCCCCTCCCCCTTTATGTTTCGTTTGACTCTCTTAAGAGATAATTTTTCTTGATCTTCTGAGTTCTGTTCACTGTATTACATCATCAACTTCTCATCTGACCTCATGTGCATCGTAATTTTAAAAATTTTGATCTTCTCTTATCTAATTACGTAACTATTGCTAATTGTCTTTTGTTACCACCCTAACAAAACAACTGTTAACTAATTTTTTTTCAAGAAACTTCTCTCTACCAAGATATATATATATACATGTCGTGACACTTTAGACACCCTGTAAATCTCAATGCCTTATTTTACTATGACGCTCTGACACTATGCTTGCTAATGGACAAAGGTTTGTTAAAAATTGTACACTATTTATTTTTAATAACAAAAATTCATGTTGTACGCAGCTGATGAGAACCAACGAAATAAAATGGATCCAGATTATTCTGCGCCAATGTTTCTTCAAATTTATAAAAGGGAATCATTGTATGATATTCTGATTTATTTGATCCTTCGGATTTGACTCATATCTGTTCACTGAAAGATTATGATAGTATTCAGAACACCATTTGTGTGATATATAAGACAAATGTATTATGTATTCCGTTATTTGACAGCTGATAAGTTGCCATTTGTGTACAAAACATGGCCCAGATAAATAAAGTATAAGCTGCTTAATCGACAAGAGTACTTCAAATCACAATAGAGCGAGAGTGAATTTCGACAATAGGTGAGAAACTGGATTTCACTTCCCTGTGGCAAAGTCTAACGGAAATATCTCTGAAGTATACACCAGTTCATCAGTGACTTGCAGGATTTTGTATGTAGCATCCAATGAATGCGTTACGATGGGGAAACGGTCGGAGTTTAAAATTTAGGTTGGATCACTGGTGATAAATCAGGAGATGAAGCTTTCATTCGAAGTGATGCTGCGGTAATTCCTGCGTTTCTATCGGTAAAACCTAGAAGAAGGTGGTCTCTTGACACTAGTTAATGCAATCTTATGCGTGAAAATATCTTCCATATATATGCATATGAATATATTGTCCATATATACCGAAATATCAGTACTAAGTGATTTCAAACATCATTCGCATAAATGAAAACAGTTTTATGTGACAGTAACTTCC